AGAGAAACCAACCTCATTTATTTATCATAAACTTCTATTTAATTTTTTGTTGCATTAAACGATCCAAATACCATATCGCGTACTCGCATGTTACAATGTATCTTTATTATTGGCGGAAAAATTACTTTTGTTATTATTTGTATCACTAGTAGTGACAGCTTCCGGTAGTTTCTCTGAAGCTCTAAAGTGGGGAACGGTGTGGAGTCCGAGACAATATGCCTGTACAATATTTTGTTAGATGATACAAATTGAAAAATTCCAAATAACCTTTGTTTAAAACGGTTCATGGTAAAATATACACAACATCCGAGTGTAATCGAAAATACAGCGTGCTACTTCAGTTCACTTCATCTTCTCACTAGTACATACTGTCTGCTTGTTTCACTACTAACCGTGATGCATCCTTTCGATCTTTGCAGGAACCTCTTATCCTTATTCTGCAAACGCTGCACAGATTCTACTAGTAGACACAATCCCAGCAGTGAACGTTTCTGTGAATTATATTAATAATTCGTAGCAGTGGTCTCTAACTGTATCACCAAGTAACCATCAATTTATATAACTGGCTACCTGTGCTACTTATAATACACTGTTACAATATTCTCTCGTTAACTTGGAGTTTTACTCCAATATTTTGTACCAACCAAGTTAAACTTTATGCACCACTAACTACCAGTGGAGTGCGACCGCATCAACGACCTTGAAACGCCCACTGAGAAAGTCAGTCAAACTTGTAAAATAATGTTGTCATCATCAATGAAATATACTCATAGAAGTGTCATGTTATTAAATGGGATATCTGGAAAGTTTCAGGTCAGGTTTGAGAGAGATTAAGTTACGGTTTAAGCTAAGGCCAAGTTAGGGTTAGGTTAATCTAATAAAGGCGGAATTAGGGTTGACGTGAGTTAGATTACAGTTAGTTCAGGGATATTTTCACGTTAGGATCAGGTTCAGGAAAGATCAGGGTTATTGTTAGGGTTAGAAGACCTAAGTAATTACATGCATAGAATGTGGTTAAATTACTCTGTTCATATAATAATAGAACTTGTTCACTGTGGCAGAGTATAATTCCATTGTGGGTAAAATTTATTTCGATAAAGCCTCACAGTGTTATACAGTACTATTTACTGATGACGTTGAATTTTACTCTCTTAATACTCCAACCTAAAACTGAGAGCTGCTTTTATCAAATGTGAGAGAAAGTTAACCTCTGTAGTACTTTTATAGAGTTTTTATCCATTTTTTCTTTTTCATATATATATGTTGAAGTTACTGTTTCACTGTGTGATACATCTAATAGACAAACTAATATGGAATATACTGTTACAATATTCTTTCGTTAACTTGGAGTTTTACTCTGATGTTTTGTAGCGTTAAAGAGCTCGTTATTAAATCCTTAACATACTCAAGTCTAAGACTACGGTTAGTAGTTTTATTTATTTCTTTTTTTTTATTTCGATTGCAGCTTGATTCCACACTGTATTTTTGGTACACGTATGGAATTTTCACCATGGATATCGGTAGCCCAAATTTTGCAGGCCGACCATAGATATCAGGTGTGCGTTGGCAGGGGGTCGAACCTCGGACCATGAGCATGGTCGGCGAGAGTCCTAACCACTTATTCTCTTTTATGGGATACTATCATTAGTATGTAACCCTTTTTTCATACAATGATAAGCATCGATGTGCTGCTCATATCGAATCAACATAAAATCATAAATATGGATAAAAAATTTCAAGGCATACATGTTGCACGAGCAGTGATACTTCTGGTCCAGTGAGCCATGCTTTGGTGATGAGTACTACAATTCAACCCCTAAGCCAGATGAAACACGCATCCCAATGGCCGCAAACAAACAAGTATCTTCAAGTTCTTAGTCCTATGGAATATCGAGGAATCCATTCGAACAGCCCACGCGATAAAATGAATCTGATCACAATGATTAAACGCATATCAACGAGAAACCATATATTTGACAGCAAATAGTTTCGAATGATATCATTTTTATTTTATTCCTTTGTATTCTAAGTGGACGTTTGGATCTTCAATACAAATGTCAAGTCAGTTCTTCTATACGGATCAGAAACTTGGCGCGTCACAAAGAATATTTCCAACAGGCTGGCTATTGCACACCTTTATCAACAACTAACTGTCAACTATCGCTCTATGCTGCATGAAGATCACAGGGCCGGGCCAGAAACAATCACCAACAAGAAACTATGGGAACAAACAAAACAAAACAAGAACCAGTCACCAACCAACAAATATGCGGGAGAAAGTGGAGATAGACTGGACACTCACTCGCTGAGGAGGCCGCCGGGTGACATGGCGCGAGCATCAGGCCATTGCTGGAGTGGGACGTCCAAGGGTGACATGGAGGAGATCGTGAGAAGAGGAGTTGAAACAGTATGGACTAAGATGGATGTAGGTGAAAAGTACAGCAGAAGGAAGACAGAAGCAAGTGGAGGGAGACGTACAGTTGAAGCTCTATGTTCCACTAGGAACCCAAGGGAACAATAATAATAATTATAAGTGGAACATATGGGCCTTCAAGCTTGAATTTTGAAGTTCCAGTTAACAGTGGTTATATTTTCTACGGAGTAGGGTTGCTAGCTAGCCTCATGCCTAAATTTCCCTCTTTCCCGGCCTTACTACTTACCGGTTAAGGAAGGTTTTGGAAGTGACAGTCAGGACCGAATCCCGGACCACATGAGTGGTTGGTGAGCATTCCTATCACTGCACCACCACCACCATTGATGCATGCTCAATTTAATAGGTATTAATTAAAATATATATATATATATATATATATATATATATATATATATAACGCTTATTTCAAACGGTATTAATAATTAGTACACTTCATAATTTGAGAACCTAGTGTAGATTTATCGCGTGAGCGCACATATGAACAAGAATGAATGATTTCAAATTTAGGCCTGCACTATAGGGCGAGGGAATTACGATACGACAGTTAGTTCTTAGTCTTTTTGATACGGAACAACCAAAACAAATAGTCAAACCATACACCCATAAGTCGTTAAATCTTTGTATTATACTATTCTAAATATGACGTGAAGACAGGGGCTAAATACTGATTCTAAACACAACTATACATCATAAGTTTCCAGGACTAATTTATAACATCTGCATATTTAAGTCAATAATACCATTTGGCTTTTTTTTTCCTTTTTGCCCTTCTCTTAGTTTGCTACTCTTGGATTACGTGTTATTTCTATTCTTTGTTGTGACATTGTGAAGCGTTTCTACTTGGACTGATGTACACTTATCTGAAAGGAATTCAATCGTTCTATCAGTGTGAAATCAATACAAGAAGTACATTTCAGTTAGTGTTGCTCGAGTGCACTGATAAGCTACGGAAGCGCGATTAGTTTGTTAAGATAACATCCTCATACACTTGTGTATACAACAAAAAAAACAAATCAGGAGATACAGTCTAAAAGACCTCATTACAAAGACTGCAAGAAATAATACTACAAAACCTAGAGAAGCCTATTCAACTGAGTTCTTCTATAATCAATAATAATAATAATTATTATTATTGTATTTATTATAATATGAATTCATAAATAGCCTTATTTTTGATACGAATTCATTATTATCACATGATTTATCACTTATAAGGATCAGATCATTCATTATTTAGAGCTAAAGCTAAACTAGATTATTTCATATGTGTAAATTAACGAATAATCTGTGTGAGCCGGTAATCAATATGTTTATACCAATGACTCAATTTTCGATTGTGATACAATTGTAAAGTGTACTAGGCGCATCCTTGCTTCTATTTTAATGAAGTTAGATTGACGACGTGTGACTCTTAGTTCAGTTTAAAGTGATAGTGGGTGAGTCAGTTATTCAACCATAGTTATATTAAATAATGAGGTGTATTAGAAAGTTAAAGTTCCTTAAACAATATTCCCTGTGAACAGTCCAATCGTGCTGTTAGGGACGAAACACACCCAAGGTGGTCGTTATAACAATCTCAACTAAACCACATAGTTTTTGCAATTGATATTTATTAAAATTACGCCATGTACAGTTTTAAAGAAGACATCGAACTACAGCACTTATTGTAAGAATTGATATACAAGAATGACAACAAGAATAATTTAGATTAAAAACATATACATATGTAAGTGAAAAGCAACAAGCTGGCAGAAGAAGCATCAAAGATAGGACTTCAGGTGAACATAGAGAAAACAGAGGTGATGAAGATTCCTGACCAACAGCAATACCAACAACAACAGACAACAATCAGCCAGCACAAATGGGAGGAACCTGAAATAAAAAACCTCCTTCACCTACCCAACTACCTGGGAAGCATCGTTTCAACTACAGGCCGACGGAACTGACGAGGATATCAAAGCCAGAATCGGAAAAGCAAGACAGGCTTTCATTACTCTCAAGTCTGTGTGGAAGTCAACAGCACTCAGCATGATTATGAAAATAAGATCCAGATTTTCAACTCCAGTGTGAAGTCAGCGCTACTCACTGTATGGATCAGAGACTTGGCCAGCGCGTCATAAAGAGAATCTCAAACAAACTTCAGACCTTCATTAACAGTTGTCTTCGCTCAATACTCAATATCAGATGGCCGGCCAGAAAAGATCAGCAACGGGGATCTCTGGCAATGAGCGAACCAACCAGGAACCGATTGTGAAACAAATAGGCAGGAAGAAATGGAGATGGATTGGCTGGCCATACTCTGAGGAAACCATCAAGTGACATCACTAGACAAGCCATTGCTCGAGTGGAACCTGAAAGGGAAGCGGCGAGTTGGTCGTCATTGTGGGGGTAACTTGGAGGAGGTCAAGTGAAGAAGAAATGAAAGCAAGTGGGCAGACTTGGAGCGGAGTGAAAAAGTTGGCAGAAAACCGAAGGCAATGGAGACGCGTGGCTGAAGCCCTAAGTTCCTCTAGGAATTAAAGGATATTATATATATATATATATATATATATATCATTGTACTTACCTTAAACCTTTCGCTGTCCATGTGTCGTAGGTTTGATCAGGAAAGCCTGAATTCTCAATTATTCCATCATTGTCAGTATCCCAAGCACCCAAAGATTTTCTTAAGATTCTCTTTAAAAAATTAATCAATGATAAGAAATTTAAATAGTCACAATGTTAAACAAGTGACACGAAATTTAAGATGGTACAAAAAAATCAATCACTTACGTATTATTGGGAAGTTTACTTCTTTCTCCCTAACCGTTATCACCTCATGATGAAATCCTCCAACCAATCAAACAAAATCCCTACAAACCAATACTTAAATATTTTTACATCACACAGTGATGCTTTATTCACAAATGAATGACAAGGTTTATTATTCAAGCTGTACAATCGTATATATATGGGATTTTTTTAAAGAAATTATATCCGGTGAGGGAATCAGGTCAAAGGTGTGAATGCATGAAATAATAGTAGTATGAAATGCAATTAAAATATTTGTGATTATAATCATGGTTTAATGTCAAGTGGCAAAATAATTAATGTCACATATAGAATAATACATGGTCCGAGTTTCGATCCTCGGCCGACGCACTCCTTTACCTCGCTAAGCCAGAAATAATACTGGTAAAGAGGAAAGGTTGGGCATGAGGCTAGCGACCCCATCCTGTAAAAATAAACACTGCTACCGAAACTTCAAGCCACTAGATTGAGGCCCTATGTTCCACTGGGAACGTGAAGGAAAAAAAATAGAATAATACATAAGGTGTATATATTTTGGAAAGGTATACATAATTATATGATTAGTAGACGAATATAAAATGTTACATAACATGGTGTGAAATTTGATAAGATAGAATTCAATATTGTAAAAATAAAAAATAAAAATCAATAATTTTGGGTTGAAAATGAAAAGTGGGTCAAGTGGAAAAGATTCAGAGTGAGAATAGTAATAATAATCGTAGTAATAAGGGGAAAGTAAATAGAATAACTAAATAAACAAAATGAATAAATGTCCCTCTACGGCTAAGGCGGAAGAAGGGATTGTACATACTTCTTTTGTACACAAAGGTCTGGCTGGCTTAAAGTCATGAATTGCCAAGGCCTCAGCTGTCTTTAGAAGTCTGTAACGAAGAAAACGCGGGAAGTTAGCATGGATTCTATATATGATCTTAAAATCATCGTCAGGGTAGACCGAGTGACAAAAGTCGATCATATGTTCTAGAATAGAGCTTCGTACACACTTCCTTTCTCCCTTGTAAAAGCATATGGCTGGAATATGTTCTCGTATCCGTATGGAAGGCGTCCTCTGACTACTGCCAATGTACCTTGCTCCACAAGAGCAGGTGAACTGATAGATGCACATGGAGGCGGCCATAAGTGGGAGCTTATCTTTTACCGAGATGGAGAACAACTTGCGGCTAGTGAACGTCATATATAAATTTGCTGCAAAGAACGTTTTACTGACTGATTTAGAGAGAGACGATTTTTGAGCATATCTGAAGCTTGATCACTTTTGAACTCCAAGTTCATGAATAAGGTTTTCTTTGGAACTGAGTCGGTGACTAGTTTAGACTGTTTATCTCTCATGTTTAAATATTTTCTCTCCTTCTCTCTCTTCATCTTTCCTTTATTGTTTGTTGCCACTTTCCATATTTCCGGTATTGCTGATGCTTCATTCCGTTTGCACGTGTGCGGTGTAGAATCGATACACAAAGCTTCAGTGATTAATCTCTGTGTCTCCACCTAACTATATTTACTTTTCAATACTCATACCCTATCCTACAACATCGTTAGGTGGAGAGAGAGGTTAGTCACTGAACCTTTGATTATCGATTCAACACAGCACACGTGCAATTAGAAAGTGGTAACAAACAACAAGGGGAAGTTGGGGAGAGAGAGAGAAAGGAGAGAAAATATACTGCCTGATATTTAAAATAAACTTATCTAATATGAAATTACATTCTACCACAGTGCCCAAGTTCAACACTTACATTTATATTATTGGGAAGATCTATGCTTAAACTAACTAAACAAACGTTTCTGTTTTGTTGGACAAGATATCTATTTATTATATTATTATTAGAAGTTAATTGGTGTTTGGTGACTGGCAGTGTAACCCAGGATGAACATCACGTCCTATTTAGGACTCCTCAACTGGATGTGCCTGCATCCACATTGAGTGATGATGTTCCCACCATGGCTGGCACTCAGTGTCCATAGTTTCAAATGCCAAAGCGTTGTCTGCTATACCGCTTGGGCGACGAGAGCCACCTATTGTGCGACGGGTCATATTAATTATTTAATTCAATTTTAGATCTTCCCGTCGACTGACTGGACCGAAAAGCAGGCACATCCAGCTGACAAGTCCCAGATAGGACGAAATGCGCATCCTGGGTTCCACCAACTGACTTCTAATTACATCCCCAGACATCGTCGAAGCATCTGCACAAGAAGCCGACATGTCAACCTGAGACTGAGCGCTTCGGTCCAATCAGTCGACGGGAAAACCTACAGTTGAATTAAATTATCATTATTATTCCCTTGGGTTCCAAGAGGAATACAGGGCTTCAATAGCACATCTCCAATTCAACCTGTTCTCTGCTAACTTTTTAGTTGGCTTTGCGAATGCCGATAAGCATTCATTTCCTTCTTACACGATCTCTTCCATGTCACCCTCAGCCAGCTAACTCATCGTTTCGCATTCAGGTCCCACTCTAGGAAATGACGCGGGATGTTACTCAACTATCCCCTCGGCATACGTTCAATCTATTTCCTTCAGAATATTTGTTAGGCGACAGGTTCTTGACTGGCTTGTTGCCAGAGTTTCTTATTGTTTATCCTTCATGAAATGACACCAGTTGGTGAAAGCTTTCAGGTAGCCAGTCAGTCTCCTTTCGATGGAAGCGAAAATAAGCATGAGGATATATAGAATGTCCTCATGATGTTTAAAGATGAGGAGGCCACTGAGGTAGCCAAAGAAATGAGAAGATATGATAACGAAGTGCTAGAAATCTGTGAGACCAAAGAGAATGGGAGTGGACTCTCTAAATTTTTTAACAGGAGAGTCAATAATCTATTCTACTGACTAAACGACAACCACGAACACATTGACACATTGGCTATCATGATATCTTATGCAGTGGGAACTAATGTCTTCCATAATTGTGACAACAAGGCTTAAATCGAAAAGTTACAATCACCTAATGCTACGCGCATGCAAACAACGCAGATCAGAAGAAGAGAGATTTCTACAGACAACTGCAGACAGTAATGGACAAGACCATAACCAGGTGGCAACATCAAAGTTCTAGTGATTGATATGAACGCTAGACTGGAAACATACAACACAGGAAGAGAACTCATCATGGGTCGTGAGGCTCTGAGTATAATGGAAGAAAACGGAGAACTGTTTGCAAACTTCTGTGCGTTTAATGATTGGGCGATTGGAGGCGGTGTGTACAAGGGCAACGATATGCATGAAGCAACATGAGTTTCACTAGACATCTAGTTGTTACTATGAAATATGAAACTAGTAATTTAAACATATACCTCGATGGAATGATTTATTTTATGTTGTACAGACATAACACACAATCTGCATTTAAAGTCAGCAACACAACTAACATTTTAATTTGTATAATAACAACAACTACATCGATTGATGCATATTCCAAAAGATGTCGAGAGTCTATGACGTACACATGATGAAGGATGTGCATTTAGAAAAACTATTAAAGTAAACACTTTTTGCAAGGATAATATCGATGGACATCTCTATTGTTTCTGGAAAAAAGGCGGTACCCTAAAGGTGAAAACAAGTTCCACCTACTAACTGTTAGGTAATAAAAGCACAATAATGTTGTAAACAAAGTTAACCCTAGACTAGCTAATTAGTGTCGACATGATAGAGAAATGACACATAAAAGTTGAAAAAAACACCTAAGTCATAGTATTGAAATCTCTAAACTGTCCAACATCGGATAAATTCTAAAATGGATGAATGAAGGGGAATTTCGAATTCCAACCTTGAAAACTAGACTTAATCTCTCCAAAAAATTTTAAAAAATTCATAAAATGTTTTTCATTAATACGAGAATGTCACGTGTGTGGATGGATGTCCCACCAACGACAATGGTTGGGGTCGCGCTAAATCACGAATTGGTAGAAGTTAAAATTCACGAGCCATTGAATTGGGTCCCAGTGGCTGAATGGTATACGAGCTTCCCTTGTAACCGGAAGGTCCTGGGTTCGAATCCCAAAGGGGGCGTACTTCCGATGATTCCCAAACTAGGATGAAACAGCAACTGTCCAGTACTCCCTGGTTTTCAATGGTTCTCTAACTGATATCCGTGATCAACTCGTAAAAATGTAAGATAATTTTTTTAATTTTGATTAAAGATTGATTCCACACAGTATTTTTGATACAAGTATAAGATTTTCAGCATGTGATATCGGTAGCCCAAATTTTGCAGGCCGACCATAGATATCAGGTATTCGTCGGCAGGGGGTCAAACCCCGGACCATGTGCATGTTGTTAAGTTTAGTTAAGTTTAAAAGAATAGCCAAACAAGGATACACATAAATATTTAAATCATTGATGTGTTTATGAAAAAGACCAGTTCCGCGATCTCGTTCATTATCATCAGATATCGAGTGGAAAAAAAAATACAAAAAACTGAGCAAAGAATATCCTTTTCGATAATTTCCTCTTCGGGCTCTACACTAATATATATATATATATATATATATATATATATATATATATATATATATGTATATATATATGTATATGTATATATATTTATACAGAATATTCTAGAAAAGTTGTCATTAACAGTATTGGTGTTTTTGAATACTATCGATTTGTTAAGTAAGATCAATGGAATTATAGTTCACAAAAGATGCATAAATTATAACTAGCATAAAAATGTTATAGCAAATAGAATATCAAATAAAATTAAGGAAATTTTCACAATAAATTGAGGATCATTTTATCCTTGATGGCCAAGGAGGTGAGGAAAGCATCTGAACCAACCAGCTTCTTTTTAATACATAAGTTAGGTTTCTTAATGCAGATTCCAACAGCCAGCCAGCATCAGCAACATTTAGTCGATGAACTCTTAAGGTAAAGTTAAGATCAGCTGGTAGGCGGTAACAGACTTTGAAAGCTTCGTTAACATCAGTCTTGTGTTTTGTATCCACAAAATGAGATAAATAGAGGTATGAATCGACTTTGTTTGTCCTTTACTTAACTACACAGGCTAATCTTCGGAAATCCGACGAGAAACACACTTAACTGTAATGCCTGTTTAAAAACACCAATATTATTAATGAAGATTATTCTAGAATATTCCAAGGATATAAACATACACAGAAGAGGAAATTATCAAAAGGTTATTATTTGCTCAGTTTTTTTTCGTTTTTTTCTGGACAAAACATTATCAATCTGAAAGAAGAATATTCTTTTCAATAATTTCTCTTCAGGTTCTTACAATTATAAAATATAATATTTGTTGTCGCTGCGGAGATTCTATAGCTACGTTTAACCCGGGTGATCAACAAAACTTTCTATTCTGCACGTCTCTGTGTCGATCCTTCAGTAGCCGCCCAATCTTCACCCAGCAACTCAAAGATGTCTTACCTAACCTTAGCTCTTCTTCATGCATATACCATTTCAACTGTTCCTGTGGTTCAAGTTATATAGCGCGCACGATTAGGCAGGTTCGTCTACGGGTTCGAGAACATTTACGAGCTTGGTTCAGCAAGGGGGAAATTAAGTGCATAAAAAGCTCGATCCTTTTGATGTGGTTTTGTTCTCTGAGCTGGATGGTTAGTTTGCTCAGCTCAGAGAACAAAACCACATCAAATCATCCACCTGAGCTACAAATCTTCTCTATCATATCTAAAGCTCGATCCTGTCACACTTGATCGATACTGGACATCATATCGATGTCAACACAGCTTTCAGGACTATATACCGAATTCCGAAGTCGTTATCACGTACAGTTCGCTTACGTCTCCTACACACAGCTGAAGCTGTTGCGATAAGATCAACTAAACTGGAACTTTGTATCCAAAAGGAACACGTCCAGACGCCAAACTTGGATTGATGATTCTTCTTCTCACCAAGAGTACTCCTTGCCCCTAACCTTCTTGGTTTTTACGAGTTAATCACGGACTGATATCAGTTAGAGGACCATTGAAAACCAGGGAGTACTGGACAGTTGCTGTTTCATCCTAGTTTGGGAATCATCGGAAGTACGCCCCCTTTGGGATTCGAACCCAGGACCTTCCGGTTACAAGGGAAGCTCGTATACCATTCAGCCACTGGGACCCAATTCAATGGCTCGTGAATTTTAACTTCTACCAATTCGTGATTTAGCGCGACCCCAACCATTGTCGTTGGTGGGACATCCATCCACACACGTGACATCTAATTGGACCTCACTGGTCACTTTTCACTAGAACCAAGGAAACTCCAACCTGTGGCAAGTCACTAGCGAGCATCAGATTAATTTTCTATAGTTTGGTTTGTAAGGATTAGTTATGTTTTTACGAGTTGATCACGGATTGATATCAGAGAACCATTGGTTTTGTTTTTCCTTTGCTTATTATTACAAATATTATTATTACAATTACAATTACTATTATTCGTCATAATTTATACCCTTCATTCAAACATTCCCTCAATACTATCGAATTTTACATTTATACTATTCGGACGTATTATTAGTGATATTATCTTTTTTCTCAATATATGCCTGCACCTGTTTCATTTCACATAGTCGCTATTTCATTATGAACATCTAATTGAAGTCTTACTATCTCCTGTCTAACTCAGACCACTTTGTACTAGTCACTCACCTGACACCTTTTATAACCTTGAGCTGACTTGTCAATTTTCCTACCCCACACTCTACAAACCTATTATGACTAATCACCACCATTGTCTCCCGTTTTACAATATTTTCTAATCGACTTTAGCCAACTAGCACGTTTGTCACACAAATACGACTATTTATTTTGACACCCCATAACTAATCTGTTATTTCAGGATTTCATCATGAGCTGACATTAGTTAGAGAACCATTGGAAAACCTGGGAGTACTGGACAGCTGTTTCGTCCTAGTTTGGGACTCTTCAGCAGTACGCACCCACCGGGATTCGAACCCAGGACCTTCCGGTTACAAGGCGAGCTCGTATACCATTAATCTGTTATTCCACGTTAAAAATGTATCCACCGTATAACTGGCCTTTATTCTAACGACAACAAATATTATATTTTATAATTGTAAGAACCTGAAGAGAAATTATTGAAAAGAATATTCTTCGTTCAGATTGACTTTTAATTCATAATATGGGAATATTTCACACTATCATATCTTAAAACATTATCACACATTTACTTTCCTCTAACGTCCAGACTGTTAAATCGTTTTTATTTCACCTCAAATAATTAATGTTGATTTCATTAACATTAATGTGTTAATACAAACAATTAGTCACAAAAAGCAACTATAACATTAGCAATTGACAAAAAAGAGACATGTTGAAACATTTTACTAAACATTATTACTAATATCAATTGATTGGTCAGCAAAATTAATATATGTTGTGTATAGAATGAATGATAAAAATGACTTTATCACTCTCATTATTAATTTAATTTAATTAACTGTTTTGAATTAAATTTCAGAAATGAGATAGATAATCAATAAAAAGAAACCTACAGAAACTATAGGAAGCATATACAGCAAGTATTGATAGTCTTGAGTCAGCCGCCAATCTCGCCATACTTGTAGAATAAATTTTGAATTTAAATCTTTCCATGCATCTGTAGGAAACATAATATAGGCATTTGGACAACGCCAAGGTTCATCTTCTGGATCACCGTAATCATGTACAACAGAGCATTCTGAGCTTCGAAATAGCGTTTGTCCACGATGAATAAAGTAGACAGCTGTTGAGTCTTCAGCTATTGCTAAATCAGCACAATCATAATTTACAGCTAATTGTAATTTAGGCCATAGTTTAATAAGAGCCCATGATGCATCATAATGCACATCATATGTATTGTACATTCGATATTCATGACCTAAAAAAAATAATAGAGGAGACGATAGGGAATCAGGAAAGCAATCTATCCTTAAAATTTTATTTGAATATGTATATATAGTAAAGATGTAAACAAATATACCATTTCATACATTTATTCCCCTTAATGAATTTGAACAAAGCAAGAACTACAGTTTTAGCAGGATAAAGTGGTATCATCTTTTATTTCGTTGCCTTCTCGTCAGCTGCTTACAGGCCAAAGACATTATTAAATATATGTACAAAAACATACTTGCACAGGGTTCATTTTAAACAAAAACCAATCGATCAATATATGCATACAGTTATAACATTTATACATATATATATATATATATATATATATATATATATATATATATATATATATATATATATATATATATATATATATATATATATATATATAATATCAAGCACTATTCCGAACAATAATAATCATACACAATGGAAACTTTTCAGCATTACCCATTCAGATGAAAGAGAGATGAAAATATCCAGTTACCAGGCAGGGCAAAGAAAGACTGATAACCACTTCTTTCTTAATGCATCAATCAGGTTTCAGGTGCTTGATGGAGATGGCTTCAGCAAACTTAAGCAGAATTGAACTCTTTTGTCTATTGATAATTTTGAACGACTTTTCGAAGTTCACTTCATGACCCGTGTCAAGAAGATGGCTGGCGATGGCACTGTTTAAAGCATTTGTTCCCTTTAGATGTAAGCTTTTTGGTACATGTTCAGAAAATTGTAGATATGCCCTTCTTTCTGTCCTTCCAATGTAACTGCTCCCGCAGATACATGTAAATTTGCATATGCAGTTGGAGTTAACATGAGAAGGATATCCATCGATTTTTGTTTGCACCAAAGAGCAAGTTATTCGATAGACGGGGACGAGCTTAGCTACAGCGTAGGCTATGGCTAGTGATGTACTCAGGATAGGCTTAAGCCATTTCCATCAGGCGCCTGAAACCTGATTTATGCGTTCAGAAAGAAACGGTTATCAGTCTTTCTTTGCCCTGGTAACTAGATATTTTTATCTCCCTTTCATCTGAATGCGTAATGCTGAAAAGTTTCCATTATATATATATATATATATATATATATATATATATATATATATATATATATATATATAAATGTTATTACTGTATGCATATATTGATCGATTGGTTTTGTTTAAAATGAACTCTGTGCAAGTGTGTTTTTGTACATATATTTAATAATGTCTTTGGCCTGTAAGCAGCTGACGAGAAGGCAACGAAATAAAAGATAATACCACTTTATCCTGCTAAAACTGTAGTTCTTGTCTTGTTCAAATATACCATTACATGAATAACATTTTAAAGCAGAGATGAAGAGTTAAACACTAACAGCAAAAATCTATAGTCTACAGACTTATAGTCAGTCTACTACACAAATTCTGAAGTTAATTCATGAAAGAAGAATGACAAGTATACAACTAATATAACCATCACAGTTATCAGTAATGTAAGTGAAATCAATGTTTGTACTTCGTTATACACCCACTCTATTTGATCATTCTAGTAACATAGAACCCAAATAACTAAAACAGATATTTCATGTAACAGGTTGTGTCACAGTTATTGTATGACGGCCTATGATACCACCCAGTTTGTCAGACTGACATTCAAGTGCTAATTTGTAGGGATTTGATGGGTTTCAGGATTTTATCATGAAATGATATCGGTTAGAGGACCATTGGAAAACCAACTGGGAGTACTGGAGAGCTGTTTCGTTCTAGTTTGGAACTCTTCAGCGGTACGCATCCACTGAAGTTCGAACCCAAGTCCTTCTGGTCACTGCGACCTGATCAAATACCCACAAAACAACACTTGGATATCAATCTGATGCTCACTAGTAACTGGCCCTATTCAGGTAAGTAGTTACCTGGGTTCTAGTAGGAAGTCATGACCCATGGGGTACAGCGGGTCGGATGTGAGGACAAATACTCGTTAATGGCATTCGCTAGTGTTCGTGCCAGATCATGTACTGGCAGAAGTTGGGATTCATGGACCATTAGGTCAGGTCCCAGTGGCTTGACGGTCTGTGAGCTCGGCCTGCAACCAATATGTCTTGCGGTTTGAATCTCAGTGTGTGTGTACTACTGAAGAGTCCCAAACTAGGACAAAGCAGCTGTCCAGACTGAATTAGGTATATTAGGGATCGAACTGACTGAAAGTCGAGTGCCTAGGCCAATGAGCTACACCTCCATTCCAGTAATACGCACAATAATGTATGTTTTGTGAAATGACTTAATAGGGAAACAACTACAGAGTTGAGTCAGATATCAACCGTTTGAATATCACCAACCAAAAAATTCAGGATTTGTAAACAGTTATTAATTAGTAGTTCAAAAATCTATAGTTAACAAGGCTCAGAGCTTTTATTCCTCTCAGTCGGCACGACATTATCAAGCCACTTGCTTGCAACCAAATAATTTACATTTTCAAGACTTGACCAGTGATCGAGAAGTGGTGACATGAAATGTAATTTGTGAAGCCTTTATTAATTTTCACGTTTACATTTCTCCACTTCAATTTCAAAAAAAGCCTTCATGAAGTCAGCTAGTTTAACACACACACTCAGTAGTTCGTCTTCCTTTACTGACTAGTTGGTTGGCAAGAAAATAAATGATTCTACCGGTATATTTAAAAGTTTAAGTGAACATAGTCCTAAAGTACAATAAACGTAATTAGAAATAAAAAATATGAGTCAGTGGTTCAGCGGTAGAATACTCCCCACCCCGGTCGACAACGCACTCCCAAACCTCGTTTAGCCGGCAGTAAGACTGGTAAAGAAGGAAGGTTGGTCGTTAGGCTAACAACTCCACCCTATAAGGAGATAAAAACATCAGTTCTACTCAAACCTCATAGCTCAAAGCTTGAAGCCCTATGTTCCACTCGGAAGGTAAATCAATAAAAAAAGTATTGAACATACTTATTTTTAGACTACGATTGCACAATAGATTTCATATACACTAGTGAGAATCATACATGTAAATATATATTGCACAAGATACTAGTAATCTCCTAACAGTCTGATCAACGACTTCAAAACAACGAATTCATTTATGATGAAAACTAAACAAATAATTTATAACTTTAGAAGTGTTTGTACTATAGTGTATCAACCTATGAGTTATTTAATCCAACTATAATGGAGAAGATTCATAGCTCAGGTGGATGATATTGATTTAGTTGTGTCTTCTGAACTGGTTGATTTAGCTGCGAAGCTTCCGTCATCCTTCCAGGCAAAATCTTTAGCTCAGTTTTTGGTATGAAGTTTCATAAGCCTTCTGAAAGCTTACGGTAACTATCTATCACTACTAGATGTATACAATCTTTTATTAAACAATGAAATTCTTATGCTAATTACACCAGCATAATCCTAATGACACAATTTTGACGAACACATTAATAGAAGAAGAAGAAGAATGGAATTTTAGTGTAGAATGTGTCATCAGACTGAATTCCGAATGCAAATGACAGACAATTTATAAATGGTGGGTTGATATGATGATCATGCCGACGCTGAAGTCCGCAAAAAAGTCTTTTACTTAAGGATTACACCTAGGACCATCTTAATTCCATATTCAACTACCACATAAATTTACTAACAAAGCAAGCATAGATTAATCTGGTGTGGTGAGAGCTGTCTGCTAGCCAAAATTGGTAGACAGTAATTTACTTCAGTGTTTCCGTTCCAAATCTTGGTCATGAGAAAAATATAGGAACAAAGACTAACTCAAGAACCAATAACAACAGACTTTGCGTGGGCGGTTACGATTCGCAGATATATGGTCTGACCTTCAAAGAAATGGCCACAAACACATGACAGAATAACTTCCAGTGAGAAAACGACCAATCAGAAGACGTTGTTTCTCAGCTAATAATGACGAATAATAATGTACATAAAAATATATAAATATCTGTTGATTTCCTCAATAAACGATCTGTTTCCTGGCCCTTGTCTTCTGTCGTTACACTGGTACATCAATCCCTGGTAGGGATATTCAGTTTTCAGTCAGTTGAATAGCAAAGAATACTCACAGTTGACAGAAGAAAGACGGTAAATACACGATTTCTAGTAGTTTTCCTATTCACCATCAATCTGTAACAAAAAAATATATAACTTGAAACAATTCGAATTCCCTTATATTTGTCTTACCTTCAAGATATCCAAATAAACCGATTTCACGTGCCAACCTTGCACGATGATCCCAAGAGTCAACTTTAATCTCTTCGGTAACTGAAGTGGGCGTCTTTATCTTACGACCAGTTAATTCATAGGGATCCAGATCAACACAATTTTTATAGCCTCTAACTAGATCAAGTGGGATACAATTGATTAAATCTGACTGAAAACAATCAACTTGTTTAGGATCAAGCCATACAGTACCTCCATCACTGAGATAGTAGGACTCATTGAATAGAGCAGATTTATACCAATTTGGAAGTGATCTATGTGGGAGGAAATGAGATGAATAAGTAGTTAATTTTTTAAAAAATCACAATGTAATCTGTCTAAACTCGATAGAAATACAAAAAACATTATTCAAGTATTGGTTTGTAGGGATTTGGTTGATTGGTTACAGGATTTCATCATTAGCTGACATTGGTTAGAGAAACATTGTAAAACCTGGGAGTACTGGACAGCTGTTTCCTCCGTCCTACTTTGGGACTCTTCATCAGTACGCACTTGCCCACCACGGTTCGAACCCAGGACCTTCTGGTCACAAGGCGAGCTCGCATACCATTAAGCTACTGGGACCCGATCCAAAGGCCCATGAGTTCTAACCTCTCCAAATTCACGATATAGCGCAACCGCTAGCCAATGTCTTCGGAGAGTATTTGTCCTCACACCCGACCTGCTGCACCCTACTGGTCACGACTGGCCCAATTCAGGTAGGTAGTTAACTGGGTTTCCAGTGGGAAGTCGTGACCAGTAGGCTGCAGCTGGTCAGGTGTGAGGACAAATACCCACCGAAGACATTGGCCAGGGGTAGCTCTGTGTCGTGAGTTGGCAGAAGTTAGAATTCATGGGCCATTGGACCAGGTCCCAGTAGCTTAATGGTATACGAGCTCACCTTGTAACCAGAAGGTCCCGGGTTCTAACTCCGGTAGGTGCGTACTAATGAAGAGTCCCAAACTAGGACGAAACAGCTGTCCAGTACTCCCAGGTTTTCCAATGTTTCTCTAACCAATGTCAGCTGATGATGAAATCCTGTAGCCAAAAAAAACATTATATGAGAAAACCTGAATATATAACTTAGCCAATTACTGCTTGCATCAGAGGTGCGTCATTGCTCATTCATAAATATACCTACGTATATATCGTTTATTGGCCAGACTTGATGAGATTTTATTTCAATAAAATATCCAATAAGGAGAAATGAAATGCAACATTTTGATACTCTTCAAAACTACATAAACTCCTTGTTTCATATTAAAATTGCTTTTTTAATTGCTTAACATCAACTTAAAAGTGAATTGTGATAGCTAGTTATCTGGCTTTATCATCAGACTGAGAATTCGATCAGAGTTAAGTAACTGACAAAACGACATTGAATATTGTCTTGCCTAGCACTTAATTAGTGTGAACTACATCAGTATTCAAATGTCATTGGTTAAACAAATTTTTTTACTCTCTCATATTCTCGTTATCATATAGTTGTACACATATAACCAAAGAAAACACCGGTGGAATAGAAATATGCAAGTATGACTTTGCATACAGGTGTATCGATTTAAATGGCTACAATCTGTGGTGGGACGAACACAAGGAAGTCAACAGAAATAAGAAAATACTGAAAGGCACAATGAAAAGGCGATAAAACCCTCGGGATTCGGAAAATAATGTTATCGGTATCAAAAAAATGTCATCGTTCACTTGAAGTATCACCCGATTTTATCATTTAGAAGGTATTATCTCAAAGAAATTTACGGACTGTCCTGATGTGCTAATTATCTCGGCTTCAATGAAGTTAATCCTAACGTTGTACACTTATCTAAGGGCTATTCGAACAACACTATGATCATTAAGGAGACAGATTATCACTTAGTTATCAAACTTTAAAATATGCTTATGAATAAACATCAGTTAGTATTGATATTACCTTAATTAGCACTCGTTAACAATTAAACAGTTTTCTATTACAAATTTATGCAGCACTGATTATTCTTCTTCTCTTGTGTTCCTGGTGGAACATACGGCTTCAACAACACATCTCCACTTTCCTCCATTCTCTACTATCCTCTTCAGCTAGGTCCACAATTGTTCACAATCTCTCATCTCTTCCTTCACAAACAACCTCCTTCATGTCACCCTAGCACCCACTACTCACTTTTAGCTTCCCATTAGGACTCCACTCGAGCGTTGGCCTGCATTGAGCGCGATGTCGTTCGACGGCCTCTCCGTGTATGTCCCACCCATCTCCATTTTCTCCTACATATTTGTTAAGCGATTGGCTCATGGTTGCTTTATTCATCGCCAGAGTTCCTTGTCGCTAATTCTATCTGGCCAGCCGGTCGGCCATTTGATCTTCAGTATGGAGTCAGCGAAGTGAGCAGCCGCTGATAAATGTCTGTGGCTTGTTGGAAATGCTTCTGTGACACGCTATCCATATTTCTGACCTGCATAGAAGAACTGACTGACTGACTTCACATTTGTGTTGAAAATCCGAATGTTGTTCTTTCTGCTGAGTTAGTGCACAAAATTCCCGAACTGACTTCAGGTTGATGAAGGAATATCTCGCTTTTCCGATTCCGGCAGGCTTTGACATCTTCATCCATGCTGTGTCGCCTGTGTTTGAAACGATGCTTTCCAGATAAGCGAAAGAGGAAACCTCTGTCAAACCTCTCTTGTTGATGGTGATTGGTACTGGTTGTTGTTGATGTTGGTTGCTTATCTTTATCACCTCTGTCCCCTCTGTATTCACCTGCAGTCCTGTTTTCGATGCCAGCCACTTCAGACAGTTTGTTAGTTTTCGCCTGTAAGTTTTCGAGTTTGTATAACTTTAGATATATCATCTGCGAAACCCAGATCTTCCAGAGTCTTCTTATCGGTCGTCCAGCGTATTCCTGACTCCTTACCCCCAACAGTCTGACGCACAATCCAGTACACCACAATTAGGAATATCATCGTCGGTGATAATAGGCAGCCTTGTCTTACTCCTGTATGCACTTCGAACGCCTCGCTGAGTTTTCCGTTGTGCACCACTTGACACGTGGAAACTAATTCAAGTAGAAGCGACAAAAGAGTTCAAATGAAGTCAAAACCTCATCAATCTAGTTTTGAATCCTAATTAAAAACTACCAACTGCTAACCTTTCAATTAAAACATAATATTATTTCATCGGGAAATGTTTTCGCTCTTTCTAAACTGTTAAAATCTGATTAGAAACCACTGAAATGGAGTGTATCATTTTTATTGTGGAAATAATGCTGTATTCCTGAAGTTGAATAAAAGATATCAGATGTATGGAATGTAATAGGGTCCAGTTGCGTAAATGTTAACCGTTACGGCAAAGTTAAACTTTAAGCACCACTAACTACCAATCAGCAAATGACCTCGAACGCACCAATCGCGTGAGGAAGGCATTTTTGTGTATGGAATAAATATATTTATGAAAAGATGCATAAAAACTATATAAAAGTGTTACGGAGGATACCTTTTACATTTGATGAAAGTAGCTGTGTTTGAGGTTGGAGTATCAACAGAGTATAATTCCATTGTGGGTAAAAGTTATTTTGATAAAGCCTCATAATATTATGCAGTAATATTTACTGAGCAATAAACTGTGCTCGAAATGTGGTCATCAGTAAATATTACTGTATAACACTGTGATGCATTATCACAATAAATTTCACTCGCAATGGAATTATACTCTAACACAGTGAACAAGTTGTATTATTATATCAACAGAGAAATTTAAACACATTCTATGCATTCAATTATTCAGGTCTTCTAACCCTAACAATAACCCTAATCTTTCCTGAACCTAACCCTAACGTGAAAATATCCCTGAACTAACTGTAATCTAACTCGAACCAATCCTGATGTCGCCTTTATTAGATTAACCTAACCCTAACTTGTCCTTAGCTTAAACCGTAACTTAATCTCTCTCAAACCTGACCTGAAACTTTCCAGATATCCCATTTAATAGCATAACGCTTCGATTAGTACATTTTATTGATGATGGCAACATTTTTTGACAGATTTGACTGACTTGTTCAGTGAGCGTTTCAATGTCGTTGGTGCAATCGCACTCCATTGGTAGTTGGTAGTGCTTAAAGTTTAACTTGTCCACCGTTACTTACAGACGAAGCTTATTGTTAATTAAATTCAAAAACATTTAATCAACTGCTACAGGAAATCTGAATTATATAATGAATCATACTGACTTTCATACAGTGTATACTGAATGAAAATGTATAAGATCATTAGGAGTTTTAAGCCAGGACCTTTCGTTTTCTCTAGACTGGATCCCTTAATAACGTCCATAGTTGGTGGGAATGTCAGCATTGCTTCTTTAAAATAAGAAGGTACAACGCAGACTATGGAAAACTGAACAGCTTCACATAGAAATATTCAGGATACTAAATGGTTAAATGGTTCAATTTATAGGAATTTATGACAAAGTAAGTACGATACCCACGGAAACATACTATCAAAATGTTGTTATTTAAAAAAGTTCAGGTATGAAACAACAACTCACTTGTTATTAAGAATAGGATTTTGCCATTCTTCAATTTTTCGAACCCATTGTCTCCAGTTTTCTATTGCATAATTTAATAATAATTTAGCTCCAGATATTCCATCAACAGGAAACCAACGAACATATCGACTGTTGAATTTAAAAAATTTAACAATAATAGTGTATTAGAATGCTAGTCAGACTTTTATTTATAAGACTTATAAACCTGACGGAAAAAGTTAGGAGGCTATGATTACACTGTGCTTTTGAACACGAAGTGACTAGAGCGAATTATCACGTACATGTGGCTTATTAAAACGCCAAATTTTACTTTATCGTACTTTGTAACACTTAAATATTGCGAAGACTAAAAAATTTAAATAAGGGATCACAAGTTTAAATAAGCGCCAAATGTTTATTCATTGTCCTGTAAGTGTGTATTGTGAGGTTTCGTTTCAACCAAAGTTTGTCGTTGTCTGTCAGAGGACTCATTGTGTAATCAAGAAATAAACAAACAAAAAGAGTACTTTCAGAAGCCAAATTCTTTTCCAGGGGAATTATTTGTGGCTTTACCTATATTTAAACTAAAAGTACTAATGTTGACTAAATCAAGAATTTAAAAAAGTGCGTATTTACTCTTTTCAGGCCGATTCATTTCAATCGCAAATATATATGAGTTATTTTGCATGCATGTCTAGATTAAGTTCGTCAAATAAAAATACATTGTTATGGTCATTTTAACTAAATAGGTGAAGATTAGTAATTGGAGTTACGTAATAGAAAACTGGTCAAGATAATTAGGTTTGAATCAAACTAGTGAAGTACCAAAGTTGATGAGTTGTCAAAAACAGTTGTCAAAAAAGAGTTACGCAATAATACGAATAGTATGGTGAGTGAGTTGTACTCAGGATACACATACCAAGAAAGAAGAGAATACGGAATTGAGTAAGAGTTCTAGATGAATACAAGAATTATAAACAACTAAAGAAACAGGCAAACAGACAAAATTAGTCATCAAAAATCAACAACATTGTTGACATGATAGTAGAAGTGGTTGAGTAATTCTCTTTCGTGAGCATAGCTCCAGTTTTTCTATGTAAATGGCCACAGCTTCAGTGATATAAAGAAGACCAGACCGTATCGCCTTTGATAAATTATCCTTGACTATGCAGATTACTTTGAACGAGGTGTTTATTGAGATGGAATGATCAGTGTGTTAATCAGATGTTCAATTATCTCACTCCTTATAGCAAGCACCACCATTGCGTTTTTCCAACCATTCTGGATAGTATTCTTGACTCCTCTTGGACAGGATGAGTATCGAATGACTCGTGTACCTGGCTCCACAGCTGCAGGTGAACTGATAGATATGCACATAGAAGTGGTCAGATGTGGGATCTTGTTCTTCAGGCCTCTGCAGATCAGCGGGCGACTGTAGAACACTATTCTTAGCGTAGCTGCAAAGAATATTCTTCTCAGAGACGATGAGATCCTTCTCTCGAGGAATATCGCTTGTTAAATCTCGCTTGGTATCCAAGTTCATATAGAGTTTGTTTTTCGGTGCAAGTGAAGTTTCATTTCTCCTGTTTACTCAAAGACAGAGGTTCTAATTTCAAATATCCTTAAAATGTTTCGCTTTAGTTTTCTAATGTCTCCAGGAAAACAAACTATTCTATGTAAGAAAAGAAAACACCATAAGAAGTGCGAAACGAGAAAAATATTATCTTCAGGTGGCATGATACTTCAACTCTAATAAAGCAAACAACTTGAAGTAATGAAATGGAAACGAAAACCTTATGCTGTTCAGTAAACAATTTCAGTCAATCAAAAGAAGAGCTAAAATATGATTTCTTTTTACCTGAAATACTTGAATAACAACCGTTGAGTCACACGGCAGAAATTAATTTCACATACTCTAGTCTTAGAAAAGACTAAGCAATATCATACACAATTACATTTTGTATAGAGCTAGCAGCCTAGTAAGTAATCAAGTAATGCGATGATTCGCTGACTGAGTGGATTCAAAGTAGAACTTTGAACAGATGTGCAGCAGTTCCCACTTGCCACACACCTAGTCTCCTTCAAATAACAGTTTTACACACAGAGTGGGATTTTCCTCTTCCTAAATACAACGACACAGTTATTTAAAACATCACTAATACTCACATACCGGGTATAAATGACATCACCTGTTCGAAATTTCACTACAGGTGAGTGCCAAGTGACAGCAAATTCTAGTTCACTTTGACTAGGATCACATGTTTCGTTAGTATTGCACATTGGGGCAGTAGTTGTGGCGCTTACAGCAATGGCAAGTTTCGGTGACTTTTTTGCTTCAGCACTGAATGACACTGTATAACCGGCTAAAATCAGAAGTTGAAAACCAGTAAAATTATAAATACTAAATTAAATACCTAAGAAAAGATTATAATGAATTTAAGATGAAGTGAATAGAATATACAGAAAACACTCATTTGTACTGAAAGGCGTATAAAAAAAAAGTGTCTAAACATGTTATTGCAGTAATCAATTTTTTTTAATAAAAGAAAAGGAACCAATAAACTGCATCATATTTTTAGTGGTTCCCCAAAAATCTAAATAACCAGGGACAACCAGATAGTGTTTATTATGGCGTAATATAACTCATCGTACAGTATGGTTAGGAAGACAATTTCTAGTGTTGTAGTCGTTATTTAAAAATCAATTTATAAAAAAAAGTCCATCCCTTTAACTTGAAATAAATAACAATTATAATAATGTGTGCTTATAGTACAGGAATTTATTTTAGTATTGTTATGAAATGCATTTTACAGTCATCTGATTTTATTATTTGAGCAACAGACTCTAAAACGTTAAGCTCATTTTTATTTTACAAATGATTAACTCAAAAGTATCTACACATAATGATGTTTAGTATTTACATTGGAAGTTCTACTTGAAATTAGTTGCTTTAGGTGAAAAACAGTTATCCAGCAATATACATATTTATATAACATACAGAAAAAGATTTTGTGATAAAAACTAATAGCATATACTTCAGAAGTATGAATACTGATACAGCAAAATCGATATTTTCTGACTAACTTCCTGACAGAATAAAAAGATTAGTTTTGCAACTAATAGTGACGTTTATTCAAACAAGTTCTATTGAATTAGTTCATGAAGATTTTCAAGTGCTATACAAGTAAATAAATGACTATAAGTGTTTGATGGTAACAACATAATTCTAGTATACCAACGTAACCTACGTTTAGCAACCAATAGCAACAACAACAACAACCAGCACCAATCACCATTAACGAGAGAGATTTGACAGAGGTTGCCTACTTCACTTATCTGGGAAGCATCGTTTCAACTACAGTCAGGTGAAAGCATGGATGAAGATGTCAAAGCTAGACAGAATCGGAAAGGTGAGATACTCCTTCATCAACCTGAAACAAGTTTGAAAATCTTGTGCAATAAATCAGCTGAAAGAACAAGACTTGGATTTTCAACACAAATGTAAAATCAGTCAGTCAGTCAGTCAGTTCTTCTATACGAGTCAGAAACTTGCAGTGCGTGTCACCAAAAGGATTTCCAACAGCCTGTTGCAGACTTTCATCGACAGCCGCCTACTTCACTGGCTCCATACTGAAGATCAAATGGCACACCAGTTAGAAAAAAGTAGCAACAAGAAACTCTGGCTGGGAACAAACCAACCAAGAACCTATCGCTCAACAAATATGTAGGAGAAAATGGAGACGGGTTGGACATACACTGAGAAGGCCATCGAATGACATCGTGCACCAAGCCAAATGAGGAGCTAAGAGTGAGTAGTCAGTTTGAGGGTGACACTGAGATCGTTTTTGGAAGGAGAGATGAGCGATTGTGAGCAGTTGTGGACCCAGCTGAAGAGGATGGTAGAAAATAGAAGAATGTGGAGATGTGTTGTTGAAGCCCTATGTTCCACTCGAAACCCAATGGAATATTAATAGTAATAATAATAATAATAATAATGTAACCTACACAATCCATTTGTTTTGATTGAGAAGCACACAAGTATCTGTAAACTCTGAATTAAGAACTTAAAGGGTAACCAAATCAATTTATAACATTAAATGTATTTTTAAAAAGGTTACATTTTAGAGGAGTCGGCGTATTTTTAGTGATTTAAATCAATAGACTGAAACTCTCTAAAAACTTTATTGCATAAAATTTCACAAACTAAAATACCTTTGAGAACAAAATAGTAACATAATAAAAAAAATTCTGCACATTATAATAATTTTCATACTTGTAGGATCATCGGCTGGCATACAACCAGATTGGAGGTCATTCCAAAATGTTGAAGCAGATGGTGCTTTATTGTATGAATGATAAGTTATGACATCTGAATGATCATTTCCGTTGACTTCTGTGTGATTGGCACTTTGCTTTTGTTCAGCATTAAAGCAAAATCCAGGACATCTACTGACTTTAACCTAGAGATAATTTAAAAAAAATAAATAAGCAGTCTGCATGAAAAACCCATGGAGCACGCACATTCTGCTGAAAGGCACTCTTAATTCTTAGTAACCGATTGAGTAGAAAATATGAAACTAGTGAAGTAAGTGAAACTCAGCACTCGTATGAGATCTTATGCACTAGGTGTGCCCATAAACGACGTGGTACGATCGAGGATGGATAAACTCCTATCTTCCTTTCGAAATGTTCTTATGCGGTCACGCATACACACAGCCTCTGCCAGTTAAGTCGTATTCACTGTCTTCACACCACAGAAGGACTGTTCCTCACAAAATTGAAAAGGAGAATGAGAACATTTGGAAATACAAACAGAACTGGTGGATATGCAGGTCTACCTAAGACCTAGAGAAGCTAGTAAATCTTGATTGCAAATCTATGAGTTTTATTTTTTATTTTTTTGATTACAGCTTGATTCCACACTGTATTTTTGGTACAAGTATGGAATTTTCAGCATGGATATCGGTAGCCCAAATTTTGCAGGCCGACCATAGATATCAGGTGTGAGTCGGCAGGGATTCGAACCTCGGGCCATGTTCATGGTCGGCGAGAGTCCTAACCACTGTGCCACCGACGCACATGGTCTCTAGAATCCGAAAGGATCAAATGGTGTATGAAACTGTTTTGGTCACCAGAAACCAAGGGAACACAGCTCCTAACGCTACTCCACTGCCTTGTGAATTAGGCTTCAAGTCAAAGGTTCGGGGAGTGGTCCTCTAAGACGACCACCTGCTTTGAAGTATCTTAGCTGTCGCACAAACTATGACATTTTGTGTGACGTATCTCTTGGCGCCCATAATATTCATAACAAGTTCGTGTTTTAATAAATAAATAAATAATGATATATACTAAATAGTGCCAAATACTCAGTGCATAGGGTAGATATTCATACTGTGTGAGGTCTTAGATGTATATTAGTGAAACAAGGTTCAAACCTGTGACGAAGTGGTTAAAAGTTGGATTACAGCACCAATAGCCTACAACTCCAAAACGAGCGACCGTTCAATTGCACAACTATCCAGAACAGACTACTGATGAAGGATATTTTCTTATTATAAGTAGAAACAATCCAAGTTTCATATACAAAAATATTTCCAACAACAATGCGTCGGTGGCACAGCGGTTAGGACGCTCACCGACCATGCACATGATCCGGGGCTCGATTTCCGGCCGACTCACTCCTTTACCTCGCTAAGCCAGAAATAATGCTAGTAATGAGGAAAGGTTGGGCATAGAGCTAGCAACCCCATCCTGTAAAATTAAACACTGCTACAGAAACTTCAAGCTACTAGCTTGAGGCCCTATGTTCCACTGGGAACGTGAAGGGAAAAAACAATACTATCATACAATAATATACATCTGTATCCGTAATTATCACAAACAGAAATGGCATCCAATGGTTGCTTGACTGACATAATCACTTAGATACGGTTTGAGAACATAGTCAGGAAATGACGATAGAAGAACACACATACCCAAATAGGTGTGATACGGTGGTCTGTTTAGGGTGATAATGACATATGTGCTTAGGTGTGGTGAAAACCAGTTCTGGATATGAAGTATGTAAGTTCTCAAAAAAATATATGTCTGTCTGGATTCAACAGAGAACTTGGCACCGAAGTGCACCAGTTCGAGTTGCCACTTTCCAAATAGCACACAAAGGTAGACAAGAAGATGAGTGAAGAGAATCAATAGAGTTTGACAAGTATAAGAGTGAAACAGAATGAGTGATGGTAGAAAGGAATATGAAAGACTACAGAGACTGAATACATCTGAGCCATTGACAACGATTTTGAGCCATGTCACCTATTGTCTCCAGTCATTGATTCCAAGAGTTCCGAGGGCCCCAACCCGGAAGTCTGCATCTCCCTACCTGACTCAGTTCAACTGTCATGGATTTCATGGATTGATGAGGCCATGTTTTTGTTTGGCCATCACTTACTCTTTTCCAAACTGCACCTATACCAGCTAGTAATGCCCGTCGGGGGAGGCAAATATATATATATATATAACGACAGTGAAAAATGTAGCTGAAAAAAATTGAAAATGCCAGCAGATAAGTGATGGGAATACAGTAATGGATCCAAGGTAATACTGTCACTTGTTGGTTTATGTACGCAGTTTTCAACCATGCATTCAAATCCTGCATAACCAACTGAGATTCTGATAACTAGGTGATGCGACTAGACTTTAGACAAAAACTGACTTACTAAGAAGTGTATTGAAATGTACATGGTTTTTGAAAGACATTCAACGGTGTCTATTAGTGAAACATTCGGTACAAAAATTTCTGCAAGCAGCTATATATATATATATATATATATATATATATATATATATATATATATATATATATATATATATGCAAATGACAAACACCTGACCTTATCCGTTGATTTAGCTGCGATACCAAAACAACAGGGTAATTCATTCCCAACAATTCTTTCCAGAAGACATCCCATTAAATTACTACCGGTAGCAAAAGGTGAAGATCGCTGGGGATAAACGCAGAAAGGATTCTCGATTGAAGACGATGTACTAGTAGTAGTAGAACTTGCAGTATTAGTATTAGTCTTTGAATTTTTAGAATTGTGATCGTCGATGTTTTCACCCACTGACACAAGTTTTGTAAGATCGCTTGTTTTGCTCCGTTTGTTAGGACTAGGACCACGCCATGTAAAGGTGATAGTAACAACTAAATCTTCTTTGTTCCAACTTAAAATCTTCCAATAAAACACAGTAAGTGGAAAACATGCCACCTCGTAATCATGTGGTATCACTGGAGATATCTACAATAAACATAAGTTAAACAAGAAAAAAGAATCACAATATACAGCTGCTATTTAACGTGAAAACATTTTTTCCGTGGATTAGCGAATGACAGCCAACAAGAAACTTCCTCATCAGCTAACAACTAGTAACTACTTCAAATCATTAGTTCCATGTATAAATATATTGGGAATCAAACTCTCATTGACGAACAATAACTCGAATTTGAGTTAGCATGGCAAAACCAGGCTACGAAATCAAGTTCGTTGGCCATTCAACCACTTGACACAGGGACTCAGTGACACGTGAAATTAGACTTTTCAATTTTTGATAGAGCGTTATTCTAAGCGAATACCATCGATAACCACCTAGTTCATTTTGACATGGTGAGCCAAATGGCAACGACTTATCAGTACCCCTCCAGGACATCTATCCAGTTGTCTTTTGAAAAAAAAATGCAGATTCATATTTAGATTATGGGTTTTACTAGGGTCACTGAATTCTGACCCAAGCCACAGAATGATCAACTAGCTTGATCTCGTTTGTTCCCTGGTCGGATCGTAAGCATGCACTGTTGAAAAGTCCCAAATCAAGACGAAACGGATGCACAATGCTCCCTGGTTTGTAATGGTCCACGAAAAAATCAATATTGAGCACCAATTCAAACCTCATGCCCAACGTTCCCTCTTTACCGCGTCGGCCGGGGATCGAACCCCGGACCACCTGTGTGGTTAGCCGGTGGGCTACCATTAAGCCACCGTGACTCATAGCTAAATACTAGCGCGATCAAACATACTCATTATTAGTCAAGGTAAAAAATAAACTAATTTTTCTTTATACTCAAAATATTAAATGTGGAGTGGAAATAAGGTAACCAAAAATATTTTTGTTTAATAATTCATACTTGCTGGCACACTAATACAAGATGATGTTCAGGAATTTCATATATGGTCCATGATCGAGGATACAAACCAACATAATTACCATTTTTCGCAGGAAAACCCCATGTCCATTTTCTTAATCCATTTCCATTTGTTGGGGGTTTAGTTAAGGGTGACAGGACTTGGTGATAAACAACCACACCGTTTTTTCTTATTGTTGCAATGAACTAAACAGGTTGGAAGGAAAATCAAAATGGTAAAAATTACCATGACAAGTATTACAGAAGGTTTTTTCTATATGAAAACGGTGAAAGTTAAAAATAAGCTTATCTAATACTTGTGTTGGCAAAAGGAAAATTCATATAAAATACACTATATCGTTCTTTCTTTTGTGTAGGACTGAGAGACTTTAAGTAGATTTTGTCTAATGGATATTTTCTTTGTCATAGTTTATGATCCGTGAGTGAAGTGTGTGTCTAACAACAAAAGGAATGATGTCCTGACTATGATGTTGTGTGACAAAAATTCTGCAGTCGAGCACAGGTGATACAAAGATAATCTTCTAACTAACGACTAAAAATATCAACATTCAGCGTAGAAAAACAAAAACTTCCATCAACAAAGGAATTCTACTGCATATGCTGTTTGCAAAGCCCATTTCCAATAGGTCAGTCAAACATTCTCACTAGTTAGATCTCAAAGTTTATCATCTTTGATGTTATACTTTATGCTACATACTGAGCGTCATGGATAATCCACATTAAGGCATCAATGAAAACAAACCACGTAGTTCACCAAACAGTCTCTTTTCAACCAATTCATTTTCTTAGCTGTACGACCGCAAATATATATATATATATATATATATGAGTTATTTTGTATGCATGTCTACATTAAGTTTGTCAAACAAAAATACAATTGTTTATGGTTATGGCTATTTTAACGGAACAGGTGAAAACTAATAAGTGTGCATCGGTGGAGTAACCTAATACAAAATCGGTCAACATAATTGAGTGTCAATCAAACTAGTGTAGTAAGAAAGGTGATGAAATGTCACAAACAGTTGTCAAAAAAGAGTTACGTAGTAATACGAATAGTTCGGTGAGTGAGTTGTACTCAGGATACACATAGGAAGAAAGTAGAGAATACGGAATAACGTAAGAGCTATAAATGAATACAAGAATTATAAGCAATTAAAGAAACAGGCAAACAGAAAAAATCAGTCATCAAACGTCAACAACGTTGTTAGCATCGTAGTAGAAGTGGTTGAGTAATTCTCTTTCTATGTGAATGGCCACAGCTTCAGGAATACAAAGAAGACGAAACCGTATTGTCTTTGATAGGTTATTCTTGACTGTGTAGATTAATTTGAAGGTGTCTGTTGAGATGGAATGATCAGTGTTAACCAGATGTTCAATTATCCCACTCCTTATAGCACCACTATTGCATTATCGCTTGTTAAATCTTGCTTGAAACCCAAATTCATCTAGTTTGTTTTTCGGTGCAAGTGGAGTTTCATTTCTTCAAATTCTTGGTCTGATACTTTTGTGAATGAATCTTATTGAGTATCTATTTTGGATGAAGATTTCTCTGAGTTTTCTTCTGTTTTCCTACCTATATATGCTGTATGGTGTGGCAACTTTCACTGGTGCAATTCTGTGTAGAGTTTTATCTTGAAAGTCAGTCATTTCATTTACTAGGCTCGGAACAACATGAAATCCATTCAACTCACTAGGAGTAATTTAAGTAACACATACTTAGCATCAACCTACGATATAGCACGCACGGATCGATTTATTTTTGCCCCAGAAAAAAAAACATTATTACGATTCAAATTAATCTAAGCATATGACACAACAAATGCGAAAGTGCTAGTAATTGACTCCTTAGTTTTTTGACCAAAAGGGTTTCAAAATGCAACGATAGCGTTCAGCGTTCTCGAGACAGCTAACGTTGAAGCATACAAGATCACAAAAGCCTAAAGGATAGAAACTGCCAGAGACATTTAAAACTTGCTCCACAGACGGTGAGGAGTTAGAGCAGAAAATAGGTTATCTATGACAGAAAATGTTTGACTCTTCGTAATATCGAATAAATGAAGCAAGATAAATTAATTTTGGGTTAAATCAACTGCCACATTTAGGAGGATAAAAAATAAAAACTACTTAATTTTTCTTCGGTCTCCCCAGGTAATCCCAATAAAATATTTGAAATCGCTGTGTTAAGAGAGATTTCTTCTTAATGAGACGCAACCATGAGATCTCAGCTAAGTTCAACGAATATGACGGGGGAAAGCGTAAACTTATCTCTATGATTTGATATCATGAGATCTCTGCTATGCTTCAAATAGAGGATTTATAAGAAACCGGGTATTTGAAATGTCACCAAATCTATTGGGTACATAAGCTTCCCTAAACTTTTCACACACATAAATTCGTTTTTTTCGTTGGCTTTATAAATCGTAAGACACTAAGGCGTAAACTTAATATCTGCATGTACCAAGTGAGTCTCAAAGCATACAGTTAAAGTTTAAAATTATAACCACGACATAGAGGGACTTATATATTTGTAGTATTGTTATTAATTTATACAAAAATCATAGAAATTACCAAAATGCCATATGAATTCACTCACGCTTAATATTTTACCAGAACCTACATATGACCAATATACTTTTAATTTTTCAAAATGACATTTCAGATGATGACTTTAGGAAATTTGTGTATCATCGTCGCAACTAATGCATACAGACTGATTAATTGAAATTGATAAGCGAGTCTAAATTTAGTTCTTAATCAACTAACTTGGTCAGCAGGTTGTACTTCGTAACAGTACATTCCTGGTATCAAGCTAGAACGGCAAAACTCTCCACGAAATCCACGCCCAATAGATCCACTGCCAATACCACCCATTGGTACGCCATAGATGGGCCTCCAGGGGACATGAGTAACCGGATCGATAAATGGCAATCGTTGCTCAACAAAACGCTTTTGTATGTAAAACCGAAAAGTGTACCTATAATATAAATATGAAGCCAGTCAGAAAACACTAGTTATAGACTTTCAACGAACTATATTATGGAAAACTAAAATCAGACACACAAGATACACATAATGATCATATGCCAAACAATTCAAAGACTTGGTCATCAACTGAACTCAGAAGTATGCTTCATCTTCCTTCTCTACATTAAGTGACTAAAATAGACAGTGCTGATCAGAAAAATCAAGTCATATGGAGAAAGATCTGAAGGCTTCCATGGAGTTGTGCTGACAGTATATTCACCTACCAACACATCTAGGAACGCAAGGATACTTATTGGTACAAACATACACCATTTCTCTTAACCTGATGGTGATACCATAACTTGTAGGTGAAAGGATATCATGACGATTTTCGGGAAAGAAGGCAACGTTTCAAAAGTATATTAGGGTTTCCAACATTTACGCAGCAGTATAATAGTTAAGGGATAAATGGTAACTGAGGCGACGATAACCAGGTGTACTTACCAGGCAACTGCGTTCAAACTCGGCATTTCACGAATATACGTACAACTAGAAAAAACTGGTATGGAATATAATATATGGTTTCGGATTTTGAATACACCGAAGTGCAAAGTATTTTAGACACTAAAAGTAAAGAATATGAACTAAAAATAACACTTTAGGATAACCTGCTTGTGATAGAATCACAAAGTGAGCCATGTAGAGGCAAGGCACAGTACTAAGTCATAGAAGCCAAGTTGGCTAGAGAACCGGATATACGTCCAAAACAAATGACTTCCTTAATAATTTGTGTCTATCAGAGTAGCGCCAAAACTGCAGAGCAAAAATGTTGTTTATGGAAATATGAATTCTATCATTTAAGGAAACGATCGAAAAACGGGAGATACACAGGTTAGTCTTTCTAAAACTTTAAGTGACAGACGACACTCTCTCCGGCAGACGAAAGTATTTCTTGTGCATTCGAAAACGAAATCTGGTTTAGAAAACCCTCGCAGCCAGGGGACGTTCGGTATATTTTTTCAGTAGAAAAAGTAGTGACTGAAAATGTGAGACTAATACATTTCGAAATAATTTTCCATCCTAAATATTAACAATTTTGATCCCTAGCACTTTTAAATGAGTAGAGTTATCTTTTGGTGGGTTAGTACAATCTAACGCAAAATTTAAAAAATATAACGGTTAATTCATGCATGTACTGGGATGTCTTTGTAAGATATTACTTGAAACAAAATAAAGAACTGGACGATGAATTAGAACTCTTCAGAATTTTTTCCAATTACATTTAGATAAATGAAAGTTAAACCAACAAAATAATAAAAATACTAACCTGAAGGACATTCCCAAGACATCTTTCATTTGAGAGGGTCGAGGGACAGTAAATGGACGGCATTTTACTTTATTTTTGCAGTCGAAACGGGCTTTCCAACCGTAGATAGGAACTATACCAAGTTTTCCTAACACGCTTAAGATAGAATCGGAGCGATCTTCACTCATCACCGGCAAAAAGTACCACGATATCAACGGTGTACTACATTAATTGTGCGGAGGTTCAAATAATTACAACCGGCCGATAATTATTTCAGGAGATAAACTTTCTTCAGTCGTCTTCGGACAAAACTGGTAAAGAAGACAAGCAGCAACTATCGACAGATAATCTTGCTATATACATTTTCTTAAAATAAAAATGAGTAGGTATACTAATTTCACTTATGTTCCTCTAAAATAACTGGGTGTTGCGTCACTGATTACCTTAAACAGACTTCGCAGGTTACCGCTGCTAGCAATGACTTCGAAGATAAAGAATAGCTACAGCCATGCACTATTGCACGCCTGATATATTATAAATACACAATGACTCATTACTTGTTTGCGAGTATAATATGAGTGTTGTAAACCCTGTAACATGCACGCATACTACCACAGAAAATGAGATTTTATTAGGCACAATAATATTCAGTGGCTTAAGAAAAACTACAATAAATGTTGAGTGAGCAGCTAGGACAAAAATTATACGTCATGCGAATCTTTTTATTTTAGTTGTACCTACAAATCCTTCCCTGAACAAATGCTCTAAATAATAGTCGCGAAATAAAACCCTAATACTTTATTTTAACATTAACTAACTTGAAAAATTTAAAAGTAACGCACAGTGTCAACTTACGCGGCCTAGTATCCAATATTTAATATCGTTTAAATCTCATTGACATCTTTGAGCTTACTTCATGTTGATTAATTAATACCTCCTGGCTTTGAATGACTGATGTTTGTTCTGCTTAGCCATTTTTCAAAAATAACTTCAGTAGAACCCATTGATTAATTTGAGAAGTTAGAAATATTTGATTTGATTTATGTAGTGACTTGACACTGTAATTCTATCATTATTTTTTCATGTTATTCTTTTATTCCTTTGGGATAAGGAAACGATAATAACAGTAATAAACTGGTTAGACTCGAATATGTAGGTTTGCATTCTTCCTTGTAGTTATGCATGTGGAGGTGAATAACGCAGATGCTACACAAATGTGTTATCTTGTCATCATCTTGATCCAATATCGTTTTTACGTGCTAGTATACACCAATTTGATTTCTTTGTGCTCGGTTCTTGATTGTAAGGTATAGGTTCCTGATCTTCGGTAAACTTCTGCGGAGCTCGTCCCGCCACTCGACTGTCATTGCTTTGGTTGACTCCAAAGGGAGCAGTGCTGGGATTAATTTTGTGTGGTTTGTAGTATGAGGTGTGTTAAGACTGTTACTACTGTGAATGGAGTTGATCCTTTCGCCAGTTAGTCCTTCGGTATCGTCGACAAGAGAAAAGTGATAGTAAAAATAATAATGCTAACAATAGATATAATAAGTGAAGTTACTCAGACTAGGATACAGAAACGGAAATAGGAAAGCGTAACGACAGTCAGCTGATTAAATTTGAAGACTAACATATATATATCGGTAATAATAATATTAATAAGTTGTCAGGAGAGTAAGACGGGAAAGAAGAGGTAAAACGACGAGTTTAATTGCCTACCCCTGATTAGTGTATGCGATTTTAAGGAGATAGGCCATTTGGATGCAGTCCTTGTATCGCTGCATGGTTGTCCAGCCTTCGCTTAAAGGCGTCCAAAGACGGTGCCATAGCTACATCTGCCGGTAAGGAATTCCAGGGACGACAAACCCGCAGTGAAAAGAAGTGGGAGCGCACCCGGGTCCTTGCCCTCTGGTGAGCTATCCTTCTGGGATTTCCACGTGGAAGCCTATACCTACTCAATGGCAGAACACCTTTGTTTGGGTGATTCTGGTCATTTGTTATTTTGTAGGCAGTAATCAAATCCCCCCTAAGCCGACGGTAACTAAGTGTGAACAGGCCTAATTTCTTCAGCCTTTCATCATATGGTTTGTTTCGGAGACCAACCACTCCTTTTGTTGCCCGTCGTTGGACTCTTTCCAAGAGGTTGGCATCTCTTCTCAGCATTGGGGGTGCAATAATATTATGCACCTCAAGGTGTGGCCTGACGTATGTTTTGTACAACATTAGAAAGAGCTCAGGAGTGAGTGCACCTAACTGTCTATGCGTAAAGTGTATGACCGCATATGCCCTCGCTACATCCCCTGTGTAATTTACGCTTGTGTCCATTTTTTCCGTTAGAACTAGACCTAAGTCGCGTTCCGACGTTGTGCAGGACAAGCTTTCATTGCACAGGGTGTAACTTGCATTCTGCAGTCTACAGGTGCGCAACTTCACTACTTTGCACTTTTTCAAGTTGAAAGTCATGCCACTGGCCACCGCCCAGTCTTCCAGAAGGTTTAGGTCTTCCTGTAGCCTATCTGAGTCCTCCGGACACTTTATCGCCCTCCATATTTTTACGTCGTCAGCGTACAGGAGAGTCGGGCAGCTCAGACGGCGTGGTAGATCATTGATGAAAATCAAAAACATCAGTGGTCCTAGGATAGAACCCTGCGACACTCCTGATGACGATCTGTGCCAAGATGATCGGACTCGGTTAACCTTAGTGCAAAATTGCCTGTCGGCTAGGTAGTCCTTCAACCATGACAGAAGTGGCTCACCTATGCCTGCCTGTCTTATTTTATGTAGGAGAAGGTCATGGTGAACAGTGTCAAATGCCTTCTCAAAGTCTAGGAAGACCACATGGACTGGTACGTTCAAGTCCCAGCATGATGTCCAGTCGTCCCAAGCTGACAGTAGGTTAGTGACGCAGGATCTGCCTTTTCTGAAACCATGTTGGGCTTCATGTAGTATATTAGTCCTATCGAAATATTCCCTGATGTGGTCGTCAATAATACTTTCCAGTACTTTTGATACCACTGGGAGTAGAGCTACTGGTCTATAGCTAGCAGCGTTTTGCCTGTCCCCACCCTTGAAGATTGGAGAAAGGATGGCTCTTTTCCACTCCCTTGGCAGGGTCCCCGAATCCATTGAGTGTTGGAACAAGTCGCACAGGGGTCTACAGAGAGCCTCGGCGCACTGTTTCAGAACAGATGGCCTGATGTCATCACAACCTGGGGACTTCCCAGGTATGAGTCGCTGTAGCTTCCTTAGTACTATTGCGGGGTTTATTTGGGGAGTAGTCGCTAGGTCTTCCTCCTCTGAAATAGTGGTGCCACCATTTTGGTCCGTAACTGTAATATCCACATTGCTGTTTAGCTGTTTAGCGAAGGCTGAACTGAATGTTTCAGCCATCTCCAGACTAGTGAGATATTGACCGTTTGGGCCTACTAAGGCGCATGCCCCTTGGTTTGTCGGTTTTCTTTCCGACATGAATCGGTACAAGTTTTTAGGGTTTGATAGGAGTTTTTTAGCAAGGTTAGCCTGGAATGACCTTCTGTCCCTCCTGACTCTTGCATTACACCGGTTCCTGAGTTCGAGGTATGCATCATGGTCGGTCTGACTCTTAGATACACGCCACGTAAACCAAGCCTTCCGCTTTGCTTGCAGAATACGTTGCGTGCCTCTCTTCAACCATGACGTCTTTCTCTTGGCTGTGTTGTGACTAAAGGGACGGTATCCGAGATTGCTATATGGATAATCTTTTTTACCACTTCCCAGTGTTCATCCACAGATAGGTCGTCCCATGCTAAGGGCCAGTCTGCGTCGGACAAGAGCCTCCGCATTTCAGCATAGTCAGCCTTGCTGTAGCACAGACATGGTCGCGTAACATCCCATTGCAAACGCTCACGGAGGACAAGATCGAAACCTATGACTGCATGGTCACTGCTTCCCAGAGGAGTCATGATCTGGACCTTTTCGACGAGTAGCTGGTCACTAGTTAGAATATAATCTAGTTTTGATGACTTTCCACTAGGGCCCCACCTAGTGTCGTCTCCAACATTCTCAGTCAGTCCCGTGTTTCGAATAGTTTGCAGTAGGTTTCGGCCAAATTTTCCCTTAGCACACCCGGAGCCAAGGTTCAGTGATGGAGCATTGAAATCTCCAGCTATGGTGATTTGGTCGTAGCCCAAATCTCGTATTCCTGTGATAGTGCTGAGCAGTAGCTGATTGTGCTCTGCCCCACAGGTGGGAGATCGGTAGATGCCACCCAGTAAGTGCTTGGTGTGGCCTACGGTGAAATGACACCATATGGAGTCTGGGAGTTCGATAAGTGGTGGGTCCGTTGCGCGCACACATTTAAGTTGCCTATCAAAGTATATAGCAACTCCCCCTCCTTCCTTATTATCCCTGTCTCTTCTGACCAGTACCATATCACCTATACTGATTTCATTGTCGGCGATAGTGGGGTTTAGCCACGTTTCAGTAAGAATGATTATTTTCAGTTGAAGGTGTGCTTGGAGATTTCGGAGTTCACCTACTTTCCTCTCAGCCCCCTCACATTGCTATATAGGCAACTGACAGTGAGTCTAACAACCTCAGAGTGTTGTGGGGTAGTTGACGTGAAACCGTCTGCTGGTGGGGGACTTGATGTTGGAACTAGTTGGCCGATTCCGATAGAACCGGCCCGTTGTAGTTTTTTTCAATGGATTTAGGCAGGACACTTGGGTGACACAGACTGTTATTCTCAGGATGGCATCGCTCTAGTGTCACTGAAGCTTGTTCTTGACTTTAGGGCCTCCTGGGATTCACTTAATTAAAACGTCCACTGATTTCGCCGGCTTATCGTTGTTATAGAAAAATGCAAGATTTAGGACCTTGTGTTTCACTGCGATTACTCCCCTTTTAGATATAATTATGTGCATTGGATTTGAAAATAGGAGAAAATTTAGATCGATGGTAGTTTTCCGATAATTGGCATTTTGGGATTTGTGATCAGTGAGTGCGTTTTAGCTGACCAATATTCCAGTGTTCACTGTAGTACCCCTTCAGTAAAATGAGTATTTTTGGATGCTCCCATGATCCGTGAGTTGCAGTTTTGGTATTTATTTGCTTGATTATATTGTGACTTGTCCTGCACCACATTTGTGGTGTTGTATTGACGTTCGCCCATCTTCTCTCGTTTAAGCTATATCGTTTGACCTTGTAGGCGCTC